CTAGCGTGAGTGTCCTCTCATGGAGGTTCTACTGTATATTGTATAAAGGCCATTGTACAGGTTCTGGCTAGGTTATTTACCTATACAAGTACAGTACTCAGTGTAAACAGAAGCTACTAGAAGGTGTTAATTACCTTGACGTACTGGTTCTCTACGATGTTCCTTCCTTTGACCCGCAGCATGCAGCCCTGGGTGTCAAAGTCCACTGTCTCAATACTGATGGTGAGCATGGTGCGGACCCTGTTGCTGCCCACGCTCCCAGTGGAGGACTCTGTGGTCACCTTCCTGGAACACCACGGCACTGCTCTTTGTAGATCCATCAAACACAAGGTAACAACACCAAATAAATAAATAGCAAGTGTGACATTTCGGTAACAGCATTGTTACCATCATCACAAAGGCCGGTCCCAAGCCCGGATGAAAAAGGAGGAGGGGGAGCAGTAACAAGCTCAGTAAAAACCTGGGCTCAGCTGGCCAGGCTGATATTACCCTGTAAGGACTCCAGGGATACAGGATGTACTCCATGTTAGGAGTGGCTGTACATGGTGTCTGTTCCTCATGTCAGAGGTGGCCATTTCTTTTGGAGCTAAGTTGGCCTGCCACTGAGTAGTGCTCCCAGTCTTAATGACAAAGGCAAATGCATTCTACTTCACCCAGTCATGATGTTTGTCAGGTATCAAGCTCTACAAGCTTGATACCCCAATTTGATTGAGAGTGGAGATAAGAAAGAAGAAGTATAGATTATAAACACAAGGTAAAAAGACCAAATTCCAACAAATAAATAGTGTGTGACATTTCAGTAAGAATGCTGTTACTGAAACATCACACACAATTTATTTATTTAAATTTGGTCTTATTACCTTGTGTTTATGTTTAGAAATGATAGGTACAATTTGGATTATAGATTAGAATCAAAAAAGGTAACAAGACCCAATACAAATTATTGAAATGTCACACACTATTTATTTTTTTGGAGATTTGGTCTTATTACCTTTTGATTCTAATCTTAACTCTTCAATGTATCATCTCTCAAGAGAATCTGTGCATATAAGACTAAAGGTTTTCTTCTTATTTCCCATAGGAGTGAGAGATGTGACCATGGGACACCATTGTGAGATTGTTGTCATCAATAAAGGTGCTGAGCATTCATTGTTGTTGAGGGATACTCCCCAAGACTAAAGGTCTTAATAAAGGTAAATTGAATAAAAATTCAAAACATGTTGAGAAAAAAAAAATCAGCCCCCAGAACAAGGAGTTGTAAAAAAAGGGAAAGTGCCATCTTGATGACCTTGTTGAGGAGGCCCAGGGAGACCTTGACACCATTGTGACGGCTGATGACATTATGCAACAATGGTCCATTCATTCCTCCTACAGCCAGTTACATATTGAGAGTCAGTTGCTTTTTCACTATTGTAATGAACTCATTTATGCAAAGTTGTTTGAAATATTGTTGCATAACAAGGAACCTCATCATTTGATTTGTCTATTTATTTTTATAAAATTATTTTTATTTTATTCTGTTGACTTTGCTTAGAATTTTTAATGAAACTGATTCCAAGAATATTATTAATTAAACATTATATTTATTGATTTACAAGAGAGAGAACAAAATATAAAAGGGAAACTAATATTAAACAAAAGAACTTTTTTTTGGCTATAGGTGGTATTAAAGGTATTTATATTGATTAAGTTAAATTATATCTATATATTGCATGTTTAAAAGCTACCCAATATTTGAATAAATTAAAAATATATTTGTATTTAAAATATAATGGTTTGTTTACATCAGTTTCATTAAAAATTCTAAGGAAAGTCAATATATTCTCATTATTAATCTGTTGGATCACAGAACAGAAATGAATGGGTGTACTTTGATTACAGACTACATTATTGCTTTGTCACTCTTTTTAAAAAAAATGTTTATTTGGAATGGGAATTATTTTTGTGAAGAGAAAAGATAAAGAGACAAGAGTTATGATGTCGCCAGGACAACTAGTTGCTGTCCTTTACAGAGAGGTAATTCTACCCTAATATTATATCAAAATAATTAATAGTGTTCTCTAGATGTACACATATTTCCCATATACGTAACTTGAAAGTAACCAGACCAAATCCAAATAATTTTTTTTTTTTAATTGCAACGAATATTTATATCAAATCAAATTCAAACCAGAAACCTTCCCGGTAGTATAGTAAACAACTTCCCAAAGTTTCACACTGATTGGATGTATGGTTTTTGAATCTATCGAGTACAGACAGACACACATTCATTTTGATATATTTAGAAGATTAAACATTATGACATCAAAACGGCTTTTCTACATGGGGAATTGATGGAAGGGATATACATGGATCAACCAGAAGGATATATTCATGTAGGGAAGAAAAACCTAGTTTGTAAACTTAACAAAATAATTAATGGGCTAAAGAAAAAAAAAAAAGAATGTTTGTGAGGTTTAAAAAGAACAATGTACTAAATGTAACATATAAATTTGTAAATTCTAATCTCTTTCTCCTTTTCATTTTTTGCCACTTTTGCCATATATATCTCAGAGATAGGATGGGGGGGGGAGTCAGTGGACAAATGGTCTAAACTGATGGTTTTTGACTGCTATGACCCGAGATTAAATCCCAAATTGGGCACTTGTTTCTAATTTAAAAAAAAAATTAACTCCGCCTTTGCCTGTCCCAAGCCCCGGATGAGAAAGGAGGAAGGGGAGCAGTAACAAGCTCACTAAAAAACCTGGGCTCAGCTGGCCCGGCTGATAGTACCCTGTAAGGGCTCCTGATCCAGTTATACAGGATGAACAGCGTTTGTACTCCATGTTAGGAGCGGCTACACATGGCATCTGTTCCTCATGTCAGAGGCGGCCATTTCTTTTGGATCTAAGTCGGCCTGCCACTTAGTTGTGCTCCCAGTCTTAATGACAAAGGCAGATGCATTCTACTTCACCCAGTGTGGAGATAAGAAAGAAGAGGAAGAAGAAGAAGAAAAAAAATGCTCCAATGGCTTCTAATACTTGAAAAATCCCAACCCTAGAAGTTTGTGCAAGCAACCAAATGGAGCTCAGGCATACTTGTAAAAACAAAAGTTGAACTACTTTTCACCTGTATAGACATGTAGTGCATGTACAGTAAAGGCAGTCGTTTACTACTCCCCACCACGATTAACATGGCTGTTGTACCATGTGTACTAGGGATAATAATAAAATATATACCTTTCTCAGAAGAATCTGAGATCAAAAGGTGTCTTCATAAGGGGAATTGATTGAAGTTTGGGGATTTTCAAACGAGATTTTTCTTAACCAAATTAGAGAGAAACTACAAACTTTTGCAAATTTTAAACACAAGGTAATAAGACCAAATCTTCAAAATAAATAAATAGTGTGTGACATTTCGGTAACAGCATTGTTACCATCATCAGACAGAAAGTACTGAATAAGAAGAATAAAATCACAGCATGCTTTTAAATAGTTAGTACTGTTATTAAATGTATAAATCATGTCTTCTTCTTCTTTCTTATCTCCACTCAATCATATTAAGGTATCAAGCTTGTAAAGCTTAACAACCATCATGATTGGGTGAGGTAAAATGCGTCTGCCTTTGTCATTAAGACTGGGAGCACTACTCATGTGTACCTTATCATTTATGAAAACTTTATTTGAAAAATTAAATAAAAATCTAAATGTGTTGTGTGAAATAGAGAATTATATTTTGTTGGTAGACCCACACTACATCTGGGAGTGCGTAGGTGTCAAGATCACCATCTGTTACAAAAGATTAGAGAGATACAACCCGTCTACAAACATCTACAGAAATATTGGCTTCAATGTCTTCTTCTTCTTTCTTATCTCTGGCTTCAATGTGAACAAAGACTTCTCAGTTCCCCCATCATTTCATAGTAGCATAGAAACATAAGGTTTTTTAAAATTCAAGTTAATAAAACCAAATCCAAATAAATAAATAGTGTATGAAATTTCATTACCAAAACCTCACACACAATTTATTTGGATTTGTTCTTATTAACCTTGTGTTTATAATCTATAATCCAAATTGTGCCTTACCACTTTTTTTGAAACTTGTTTTTATTATACTATAAGTATAAAAGTGCTACAGGCCATGATAATCATGATGGTTAATTAGCGACTGCTTTTTACTGTAAGTAGACCACATGTGAAAAGCAGTTTGACTTTTGCACTTACAAATGTGCCAGAGCCACATTTGGTTACTTGCACTTATTGGTGGAGTTGGACTTTGGCAAGAATAGGAGCCATTGGAGAATTTTTTAATATTATATAATTATAAAAGTGTCCAATGCAGGATTCGATCTTGGGTCATAGCAATGGAAAACCAACAGTTTAGACCACTCATCCACTGATACCCCCAAACCATAAGGTAACTAGACCAAATAAAAATCAATGGTTTGGTCTTGTTACCTTATGTGTTTATAATTTTATAATTTCCCCGAATTGTAATTTATTATTTATATATATATATATCAGGAATTATGATAGCCTGATGGTCAGAAATAACATGAGAATTGTGGCGTTACAACCTGTTTTGGTTTAGATTTTTTAGGCCCACAAGGTAATGAGCCCAAATTCAAATAAATAAATAGTAGGTGATGTTTCAGAAACTTTTCGCTGTGACCGAAAGACACACACTCAAAAGCCTTTATTTTAGCCATATAGTCCTATACATCGATTTACCACTGAGTTTCTCTGCAAATGAAAAGAATAAAAGAAACACAAAGTATATATATATATATAATAAGACCGAATCCCTATAAATAAATAGTGTGTGACATTTTGGTAACAGCGTTGTTACCAAGAAACGTTCCACATTATTTATAAGGATTAGGTCTTATTACCTTGTGTTTATAATCTATAATCCAAATTGTGTAACTTATCAGAATAAATGAAAGTAAAAGCTAATCACATTTAATGAAAACAATGGAATTCTATATACAGTTATCAGCGTCATGTGTTCTTAATTCTGTCACCGTTTGCTTTTAGTTCAGTGGTAGAATGCTCGCCTGCCACGCGGGCGCCCCGGGTTCGATTCCCGGCCGATGCGGTTTTTTTTTTTTTTTTACAATATATACAGTTATCAGCGTCACGTGTTCTTAATTCTGTCACCGTTTGCTTTTGGTTCAGTGGTAGAATGCTCGCCTGCCACGCGGGCGCCCCGGGTTCGATTCCCGGCCAATGCATTTTTTTTTTTTTACAATATACAGTGTACTCCGCTTATAACGAAGTCGCATTATCCATGACAATCACTTTGTTATATCCGAAGTTTGTTATATCCGCAGTTGGAAAAAAAAATGTTTTGTACCAATAATTTTATTCACTATTCAACTCAAAAGAGCAACACAAAGATCAATAACAACCTCATCAGGTGTTTTTGGAGAAGTAGTTTGTGATTTTCTTTTGACATTTAGAAGTCAGTAACAAGTGCTGAACACTCTTTTCGATGTTGTCCAAGTCTGACAGATGCCTATGAAGAGACTTGGACTCATCCTGACATTGAAGAAACAATCGCAGAGTTTGAATGCTCTCCAAGACCTCTTTTGGATGCGCAATGTGGACAATTGGGTCTACTTCTTCATCAACTTGGTCCGTTTCTTCTTCTTCTTTTGCTTGAAGAATGCTCTCGACAATTTCTACATCGGATAACATGGCATTTGTAACGATGCCATGCCTTGCCTTCCAACGCTCGATCCATCCACCACTCCCAGTAAAATCCTTTAATCCAAATTCAAGAGCCAGGGTCTTCGCCTTTTCGGAAAGCAATGGACCATTAACTGGAAGCGCTGCACTTCTTGCCTGCTTGAACCACTGCAGCAGAGCCTCATCAACATCAGCATATGTAGATCCACGTGCTCGTTTCCGACTGCTTTCTCCCGCATGCAGAGCTTGTTGGTGGATCTTCTCAGAGTTCTTTATTATGGTGCTGAGCGACGACTGTGGGATATTATGTTTCTGGGCAACATCTGTCTTTTTCTTCTTCTCCACTTCAATCTCTCTTAGGATTTGCAGCTTGACTGACAGAGATAGTGAGTTTCTTGTTTGTTTTCGTTCTCCTGCCATGGTAAACGTTAATAAAATATAAGCGTTTATTAAACAATTTAATTTTGTTTAAATAATGTAAAAAAAAATACTTATAATATGTTTGCATATTTTAAAATTGTATATTATTAACTTATTTGTTGTGTATCATTAAATTTGTGTCATTCACACTTTGTAATTTGATATATATTATGCATAATATATTAGTCAATTATAATGGTAAATGAGAAAACTTCGTTATAAACGGATAAAATAAAAATTTATACATGCAAATCACTTCGTTATAAGCGAAAATTCTTTATATCCGACTTCGCAATATCCAGAGTTCTTTTAATGGTTTAAGCCCTTCTTTTCTTTCGTGCAGACAATTTCATTCGCTATATGCGGAATTTCGCTATAACCGACTTTGTTATAAGCGGAGTACACTGTATACAGTTATCAGCGTCATGCGTTCTTAATTCTGTCACCGTTTGCTTTTGGTTCAGTGGTAGAATGCTCGCCTGCCACGCGGGCACCCCGGGTTCGATTCCCGGCCGATGCATTTTTTTTTACAATTTTTAAAACTCATTTATATTATTAAAATATATGTGCTTTTCCTGTCTATGTATAAAGGAGATTATAAAAACAGGGTAATAAGACCAAATCCAATGATAAGGTACAATTTGGATTATTAATATATACAGTTATCAGCGTCATGCACAATTCTTTCTTAATTCTGTCACCATTTGCTTTTGGTTCAGTGGTAGAATGCTCGCCTGCCACACGGGCGCCCCGGGTTCGATTCCCGGCCGATGCATTTTTTTTTTTTTACAATTTTTAAAACTCATTTATATTATTAAAATTAATATATACAGTTATCAGCGTCATGTGTTCTTAATTCTGTCACCGTTTGCTTTTGGTTCAGTGGTAGAATGCTCGCCTGCCACGCGGGTGCCCCGGGTTCGATTCCCGGCCGATGCATTTTTTTTTTTTTACAATTTTTAAAACTCATTTATATATTATACAAGAATGACATCCACAGCGCCAATTTATAATTGTAACGAATAGTATTTGAATAAAAGCATTTAATAGAGTAAAACCCGGGCATTGCCCGGGTCATTCATCTAGTATATTTATATACAGGAAAACTTAATGAAGACAATGATCCGGCACAGAATTTGGATTATAGATTAAAAACAAGGCAATAAGACCAAATCTAAATAAATATATAGTGTGTGATGTTTTGGTAACAGCGTTGTTATCATCATCAGATACATTCAGTACTTTTGTCTGATGATGGTAACAATGCTGTTACTGAAACGTCGCACACTCTTTATTAATTTGGATTTGGTCTTATTACCTTGTGTTTCTGATAACCATCATAGATCTGTCTTTGTCATTAAGACTGGGAGCACTACTCAGTGGCAGGCCAATGACTTAGCTTCAATATGTAATGTAGACATCATGTACAGCTGCTCCTAACATGGAGTACATCCTGTATCCCTGGAGACCTTACAGGGTACTATCAGCTGAGCCCAGGTTTGTTAGTGAGCTTGTTACTGCTCACCCTCCTCCTTTGTCATCCGGGCTTGGGACCGGCAAAGGCGGTAGTGTTTCTAACCTATAATCCAAATTGTACCTCATCAATTTGTTAGGGCCATTTCATATAGGCAGGGTGAGGAAGACTCAATTCTAAATGGTATAAAGATGTCAAGAGTCTGTTTGAAAGTCTTAAGAAAAAGCCAATAAACTTAATGGATTTACTTATGGTTAAAAAAAAAGCAAAGGAAAAAAGTAAAAATAAATTGGTAATATACAGTAGCCAACCTCTTTGTAGATGAAAACATCTAGTTACAGAACCAAAGTGTTCTATAGAGAGAGGTATCTTCTTACTCGAGAGCAGGTTCAGTAAAATGAACCATGGCTATAGTGAACCACAAGTTCCATTTAGATTCACTATAAAGGGGTTTTACTGTAATTGGTATGAATGGTATTTTCAAAATTGGAAACTATTATAGACGCGTATTATTCTTTTTAAAAATAAACAATTTCTACTGGCCTTACTTTTAAAAAAGAATCATATGCGTCTATAATAGTTTCAAATTTTGATAACAGATGGTGCGCTAATGCATCATAAATGGTATTTTGTAGAGGTGTCCTCTAGATACAGTGTTCTCTAATGGAGAAGGTTTTACTATATTTTATAACTAAAGATGATTGTATAGTAGGTATTCAAGATATAAAAGAAAGTTTAGAGAAACACGTGTACTTGAATTGTCAGAGATTTTCCAAAAAAATGAACAAGTTTTTGTGTTGTATAGAGAAAGATAAAATGATATCTCATTAGGTCACTCCCACATAACCTCACACTTGAGAGTGGTGACCCATATAATGTGTAACACTATCAATGTAACAATCAATCAAATATGACTCATTTGCATATCACCCAACCTTCAATAAGAGACAACCTCCAGGAGAGACCTGTAATATATCAGCATGAAAAATTCTGTGAAAATTGTTTGCTTCTGTAATTCACAAGTTGTTATCATCATAGTTGTTTTGAGTATATATAATTTGCATTATTTTCTTCTTTATTGCATTCATTTAATATTTTTGTGTTTATTTCTTTTGATTAAATATTCAAATTTTCAATGGTGCAAAAGGTAGGCCAAAAATAAAAGTTTTCTTTCTTCATTTCACTAAAGTTATTTGCAAGACCACAAAGGTATTTGTATTTTTAAGGTAGACATTTTTTAAAGGGAAATGTTCTTTTCAACTTCATCAACTTTTTACTATTATTTTGAAAAAAAAAAATTAATTCTTCAAAGTCAAGCAATCGTGCAAATGAGTATTGTTGCATCATATTTGATGCTTTCTTTTTTTTTTTTTTGCTCAGTTATTTTCAATCTAGCTGAATGATCTTTGTCTTTCCGAATATAAATGTTTTTCTAAAAAATATTTCTTTCAATTCATTTTTTTTAATGGGGGTCAGTGGAAGTCTGGTTAAACTGTTTGGTTTCCAACCACTACGACCTGGGTTCGATTCCTGCATTGGACACTTTTTTTCTGTTTAAAAAAAAAAATGCTCCAATGGCCCCCGATTCTTGCAAAAGTCCAACCCCACCAGCGAGTGCAAGTAACCAAACGGGGCTCTGGAACATTTATAAGTGCAAAGTAGAACTGCTTTTCCCATGTGTAGATATGTGGTGCGCTTACAGAAAAAAAAGCAGTCGCTAACTACCCACCATGATTATCATGGCCTGTACCACCATGTGTACTAGGGATAAGCAAAAAAAAATTTTTTTTTTTTTTTAATTGTAAAAATAAGTGATCAAAAGAGATAGTTTTGTTATTATTAGTAAGGCACAATTTGGATAATAGATTATAAACACAAGGTAACAAGACCAAATCCAAATAAAATTCAAATAGTGTGTGACGTTTCGGTAACAGCATTGTTACCATCTTCAGACAATTCAGTACATTCAGTACTTTTGTTTGAAGATGGTAACAATGCTGTTACTGAAACGTCACACACTATTTGGATTTGGTCTTATTACCTTGTGTTATTATTAGTAGTAATGTTGATAAGAATCCTTTAATACATATTATCATCATCATCTTTGGACTTAAAGAGAAACTAATTTGCATATTTCTAGGTAGAAACTATAATGATAAAATGTCAATAACAATCATCTGGTTTTAGGTTATGGGTTAAATTATATAAGGTACAATTTGGATCATAGATTATAAATACAAGGTAATAAGACTAAACCAATTTTTTTATTCTATTGTCTGATGATGGTAAAAAAGTATTGTTACCAAAACATCATATACCATTAATTTATTTGGATTTTATCTTATTTTACCTTGTAGTTATAGTGTAAAATTAAGAATCAAATGAAATAAAAATAACATTTCAAGCATTTATTATTATCATTAAAAGACAAAACTCCGCCTTTGCCGGTCCCAAGCCTGGATGAAAAAGGAGGAGGGGGAACAGTAACAAGCTCACTAAAAAACCTGGGTTCAGCT